ACCTTTGTGCCTGGGTAAGCCAGAATGAACCCTCCACCTATGACGAGGTTGTCGCCCTGGTAGAGAGGCGAAGGACAGCGAGGGAGCTGACCTGACCAGTTAAGGAAGAGGCACACCGGGTTAAACTAGCAGCACCAAGCCCTAAAGTTCGGGTGACTGGGCCACCAGGAGGGCCCAGGTGGAAAATGAGAGCGGCTGAAGGCCCATCAGAGGCCACAAAGAGTCGGAGCACTGAGGGAGAAGAGGATCGTGATGTTAGACTGCCCAAACCCAGAGACCGGGGAACGCCTAGGGCTCCATACAGATGTTATGCCTGCGGGGAGTGGGGACATATAGCTGCACAGTGTCCCAATGCTGAGGAGCCTATGCAGTGTAACCTGGGGAACTGGGCTGATCCATGTTCCCTAATCCACCTTGTGGGGGTCTCACTAACCCCACATGTATACCAGACCAGTGACACTAAATGGGGTAGGGACCACGGCACTGGTTGATTCGGGGAGTGCTATCACGCTTATCACAGGGAAGCTCATGAAGCATAGTCAGCTGCTGCAGGCTAAACATACGGGGATAACATGTGTCCATGGGACAGTTAGTTACTACCCCACCATCCCAGTAAAAATTGAGATCCAAGGGAACACTACTGAGGTAGCAGCAGGTGTAGTCCCTAAACTCCCATACCTGGTGCTCATAGGGAGGGACTCCCCAGGGTTTGGAAACTTACTCCCAGTAGGGGGATTGGAGAAAGATGGGAACCCTAAAATTGGTGAGGCATCCACAGCAGACTGTCAACCCCCAATCTTCTCTGAAATATCCCCAGATTTGTTCTCCACTCCCAGACAGGGTAGAAAGACAAAAAGGGAAAGAAGGGCAGCTAAGGCCGTGGGAACCCGAATACTGACCCAAAGCCAGAGGATCGCTCTTGTAGGTAGGCGGACCCGCACAGCTGAAATGGAGGCCACGCAGGACGGAGAAGCACCTGAGTCTGACCCCTACCCTAATGCTTCTGAACCAGTAGAGGCAACAGAGACTGGGTCCCTAGATCTTGGGCAGATTAGCCCTGGGAGAGGAAATTTTGGATGGGACCAGGCAGAAGACCCAAGGTATGACAACATTAGGAAGGAGGTGACTGAAATAGATGGGGTCCCCGTGGAAGGGAAAACCCAGGGACCAGGACCCTACTTCATAATGAAGAAGGATCTCTTATACCGGGTTGCACCAGTACAGGGGCAGAAGGTACAGCAGATCCTAGTACCTCAAAAACACCAGAACGCTGTATTAAGTCTGGCTCATAGTTATCCTTTTGGGGAGCATTTGGGGGTAGAGAAGACCCTGGCACGAGTCCTACGACAGTTCTTCTGGCCTGGAGTACATGAAGAAGTATGGAGGTACTGTGCCTCCTGCCCGGAGTGTCAGCTGCACAGTCCCCGTCCCCACTTAAGGGCACCTTTAGTACCCCTTCCCATCATAGAGGTCCCCTTCGAGCGAATAGCCATGGACCTAGTGGGACCCCTGGAGAAGACAGCTCGGGACCACCAATATATACTTGTTGTTTTGGACTATGCTACTCGCAACCCAGAAGCCGTCCCCCTGCGGAACACAGCCTCGAAAACTATAGCCAAATTGCTGGTGGGGATCTTTGCCCGAATGGGGCTACCGAAGGAGATATTAACCGACCAAGGAACCCCATTTATGTCGAAGCTAATGAAGGACCTCTGTACACTGCTCCATATACATACCCTGAGAACTTCGGTCTACCATCCGCAGACTGATGGGTTGGTAGAAAGGTTTAACCGAACCCTCAAGGTTATGATAAGGAAGGTGGTAAGTCGGGATGGGAAGGATTGGGACACCCTACTACCCTACCTTATGTTCGCTATCCGGGAGGTACCTCAGGCCTCAACTGGGTTTTCCCCCTTCGAGTTATTATACGAGCGTCACCCCGTGGCATACTAGATATCGCCAAAGAGATCTGAGAAGAGGAACCCAATGAGGGGAGAAATATAATAGAGCATGTAATGCAGATGCGAGACCGGATAGCCCGGGTTACCCCTATTGTACGGGAACATTTGGAGAAGGCACAGGAGGCCCAGCGAACCCATTACAATCGCCAGGCAAAACTGCGACAGTTCCAACCAGGGGATCGAGTTATGGTGTTGGTACCCATGGCAGAAAGCAAGCTTCTGGCCCAATGACAGGGGCCCTATGAAGTGGTTGAACCCATGGGGGAAGTAACCTACAAGGTGCGGCAGCCAGGATGCAGAAAACAAGAACAGATTTATCACATTAACCTTCTGAAACCCTGGCATGCACAAGAGACATGCACAACGGTCCAAAAAGACCTAACCCAGGAAAACAAGCCTTCCAAACAGGTGAGAGTGTCTCCCGATTTAACACCAGACCAGAAGAATGAGGTGTCTGAGATGATCTTCTGGAACCAAGATGTGTTCTCGACAAAACCGGGTCGAACAACCGAGACATATCACCACATCGTCACGAACCTTGGGGCCAGAGTAACAATGAGGCCCTATCGGGTGCCAGCGGCAAAAAGGGAGGAAATAAATGCAGAAGTAAAAAAAAAATACTGGAGCTAGGGATCATCGAAGAATCCCACAGTCAGTGGTCCAGCCCAATCGTGCTGGTGCCCAAACCTGATGGCACCACAAGATTTTGCAACGAATTCCGGCGACGAAACTAAGTATCCCAGTTCGACGCGTACCCCATACCTCGCACAGATGAGCTAGTGGACCGTCTGGGTAATGCCCAGTACTTGACTACCCTAGACTTGACAAAGGGGTACTGGCAGATTCCCCTTGCAGAAGACGCAAAGGAAAAGACTGCGTTCTCTACACCAGAGGGTTTTTTTCAATATACTGTCCTCCCTTTTGGACTACATGGGGCCCCAGCTACCTTCCAGTGCCTCATGGACCAGCTATTATGTCCGCATAACAGTTATGCTGCTGCCTACTTGGACGATGTGGTCATTCATATCCCAGACTGGGAAACCCACCTGGAGAAGGTGGAGGCAGTCCTCGATACCTTCAGGCGAGCTGGCCTTACAGCAAACCCTGCCAAGTGCACTGTAGGGTTTACAGAGGCCAAATATCTTGGCTACATTGTGGGAAAAGGTCTGGTAAAACCCCAAGTGAACAAGTTAGAGGCCATCCAAAATTGGCCCCGACCAAGTCGCAAGAAACAAGTCCGGGCGTTCCTAGGTGTGGTGGGGTATTACCAACTATTTATCCCCCACTTTGCCACAAGGGCAAGCCCCCTGACAGACCTAGTGAAAGCCCGTGGACCTGATCTGGTGAGATGGTCTGACGCAGCAGAGGAAGCATTCACAGACCTACGGACTGCCCTCTGCAGTAACCCCATACTGATAGCCCCTGATTTCACCAAGGAGTTTATCCTGCAAACGGATGCATCGGAAGTAGGGTTGGGGACCGTTCTATCACAGATGGTCGGGGAGGAGGAACACCCAATTCTATACCTCAGTCAGAAACTCCTTCCAAGGGAACAAAAATATGCAGTGGTGGAGAGAGAATGCCTCGCTGTAAAATGGGCCATGGAAACATTGCACTACTACCTGCTCGGGCGCAGATTTGTCCTCGTGACCGACCAGGCCCCTCTTCAATGGATGCAGTGGAACAAGGAGAACAGAAGGGTGACCGGATGGCTCTTATCCCTCCAACCTTTCCAGTTCAGTGGGCAACACAGAGCAGGGAGCTGTCATGGCAATGCTGATGGCTTGTCACGTGTGCACTGTCTGGCGTCCCAAGCTGCCCAACCCCTTGGCGTTGAGCAGGGGGGAGGGATATGTGACAGACCCAGACCAGTGGGGTACAGGAGTCTGGTAGAGGGCAAATATACTGGTCATTGGATGAGTAGTTTTCTGTTCCCTGAGTGACCAGTGCAGGAGCTGCACTAGAGTAATCAGGAACCTGCTAGAACCAGTTAAGGCAGGCAGGCTAATTAGGATACCTGGAGCCAATTAAGAAGAAGCTGCTAGAATCAATTAAGGCAGGCTAATCAGGGCACCTGGGTTTTAAAAGGAGCTCACTTCAGTTTGTGGTGCGAGTGTGAGGAGCTGGGAGCAAGAGGTGCAAGGAGCTGAGAGTGAGAGGGTGTGCTGCTGGAGGACTGAGGAGCACAAGCGTTATCAGACACCAGGAGGAAGGTCCTGTGGTGAGAATAGGGAAGGTGTTTGGAGAAGGCCATGGGAAGTAGCCCAGGAAATTGTAGCTGTCATGCAGCTGTTACAGGAGGCACTATAGACAGCTGCAGTCCACAGGGCCCTGGGCTGGAACCCGGAGTAGAGGGCGGGCCCGGGTTCCCCCCAAACCTCCCAACTGACCTGGACGGTGGGTTCTTCCAGAGGGGAAGGTCTCTGGGCTGTTCCCCAACCCACATGGTGAATCTCTGTGGCAAGAAAATCCGCCAATAAGCGCAGGATCCACCAAGATAGAGAAGTAACTTTGTCACAGCACCTATATAAGAAAAAGCTGCAAATATCAGGATTGTTTCTATAAAATTGGGACATCTGGTCATCCAAGGGCAGGGGGAGCTGAGTCCCAAGGCAGCAGGGTGTGGGGGGTGAGTGTGATCAGCCTGGATCCACCCCTGTTCCCCCAGCAGAGAGATCATTAGTTCCGTGACCCCCTGAATGAACCTCCAATCCTCTGGAATCCCCCTGGGACTTGCCTGCTGTCATCCCTGAGACAGGGCCCTTTTAAAACCTTGCAAACACAAACCATCCCTGGCTGCCGCTGAGTTCCTGAGCTGGCCCTAGAACCAGCACTGCCAGTGCCATAGCCCTTACCCCTGTCAAGCCGTAACTCCAGGCAGCCTGGAGCCCGGCGGCCTGTACTACTCACTTTCACGATGATGCCTGCAGTGGTCTCGTCAGACAGCTTGCTGTCTCCAAAGCTCTTGATGTTGAAAGCGCAAATTTTCAGGGTGGCGGCTGTGTGCAGTAGGTAGGCCAGGGACAGCAAGGCCAGCGCTGGCTTCATGGCCCCCATCCTGCAGGCAGGAAGGGACACAGCATCTGTAGGGATCAGCGGAGAGGTTAGTGTATTGGCAAGGAGCAGGAAACCGCCTAGGAGTGCTGGCTGGGCTGGAATGATGGGGGGGCCTTGTGATGTGCGTAGCCTGCTGACAGAGGATGCATGTACTAAACTAAAGTGCGCCTATCACAACCCTCCAGGAAGTCAGTCAGTGTCATTATCCCTAATTTGCACATAAGGAAATTAAGGCAAAGAAAGGGGAAGGGACTTGCCCAATGTCATCCAGTGAATCAGCAACAGAGCTGGGAAAAGAACCTAGGAGTCCTGGCTCCCAGTCACCTGTTTTAGCCCCCAGACAACAGTCTGTAAAGTTACCACAGGTATGGGGCCAGGGCCAGCTCCAGGCACCAGTTTGGCAAGCTGGTGCTTGGGGCGGCCAATCCTGACAGGGGCGGCAGGTCCAGCTATTCGGCGGCAATTCGGCGGATGGTCCCTCACTCCCGCTAGGAGCGAAGGACCTTCTGCCGAATTGCCGCCGCAGATCGCGATCGCGGCTTTTTTTTGTGGCTGCTTGGGGCGGCCAAATCCCTGGAGCCAGCCCTGTATGGGGCAGCCTTTCTGTCTGTTCCCTGCATGCCTGTATATCTGAAAATAGCCCAGAGCAAGTGATTGCATTAAACAGCATTAATGTGAACTTGGACACAGAAGGATGAGAGAAGCTGGGACAGGGAACAAGCTGCTAGTCATCTCTGTTCGTGCTCATGTTGGCTACAGATCCACTAATACTCAAAGCTGGGAACCCTCCCACTTCCTCCCCACTCACACGCATCTCCCCACTTACTTCCCCAAAAGGGGCAGGGACAGTTGCAATTTCTTCCACATTGTAGCAAGCATGGCTGGTTCAGGAATTGGAGGATCCCTTACCACTAAGGTGACAGATTTGTATGGTGTCTGCATGTCCCAGATTGTTGGACTGTCTGCTATAGGGGTTGCTAAGGTCATACGGCCCTGCATTTGTAGGGTTAATTGCTAAAACAGGGGGGTTGACTGCGAAGACAGGGGTGCTCACTCTCTAAGTGAAAAAATGTACTGCTTTCTCCCCCGCCCACTTTGTTTTAACAAGAAAATTAGTTACAGAATTTTCCCCAAGTTTTTTAGGGTTAATTTGTGTTATATCAATTAAACTTTTTCAAATATTTATACACGACATACATTCTAATATCCAGTACATTTTTACACATAGTAGAAAGGAAAATAATATAACAATTAAATAAAATATAGCCCCCTTGAGTTTATATAAACCCTCTGAGGATAATAAACTTTCATTAACTGCTTATCCTTGGGCGATATAGGTAGAAACCTTTTGAAAGTTTTTTTCTCAGCTTTAACATTTTGCAACATTGTTTACGGTTTAACTTAATTCAGGGAGGTTTGCCCAGGATAGAGCAGGAACTGGCGGGATCTGTCTCAAGAGACAGAGGGTTGGTGGACACCCAGCTGTAGTAAGGAATTCATGCTTTCAGCTGCATATGATTTGGGTATGGATGCTATTGGGTTAGGACCTGGAACAGTAACCATGACAGGCATTCTGTCACAGTCATGTTTATGCTGAGCAAGGCTGGGACTCTTGCTTCAACCCCAGTTTGCACAATATCTGGAAGAGGGTGAGTTTCATAAAGACCTGACAGATCGTAACAGGCAGACTTTGCAACTGCTGCAGAGACATGGCAATCAGTTATTGCTACAGGATCATTTCCCAGAGAACAACCACAACAATACAGCCCTGGTGAACCATACGGTCAGACCCCAGCATATTCCATGGTTCCGATAAACAAGTTGGCACAAAGCAGTGGAGCCAAATCACTATGTTCTCGAGCAGCAGTTCAGAAAGAATAGAGGAAACAGGGTAACTTACAAAAGTTTCAGAAGTGAAATGTTTTCTAGAGGAGATGGGGAGAAATAAGGGTTGTCTTCACGGAGCATAAAAATAACAACTCCTGTATCTATTAACTTATTAAACCAACAACATTTAACTAATAGCCCGCATGACAATAAGCAAGCAACAAAGCATTCTATACATATGCTTAATACTTTGATTTACCTCCTTTTACTTTTTCTCCTACCCTTCCCCCTGCACTTTTTTGCAGGTTAGAAGGGTGGTGAGTAAGGTTTTGTTTTCCCCTATTTGCATTTATTAATTTCATTTTGACATTTACTTCAGGTATCGCCTTGTTTAAAGGGGCATCTATTTCAAAGGCATGCTGTCATTGCTACAACAAAGCCAGCTGACATTAGTTACTTGTGTTCGGCTTCAGAGTCCAAGATCCATTGTTTAAATATAAAACAAAGGTTTGAGGACTTAAAAAATTAATTGCTTTGTTGGACATTTGTCTTGTTTTAGGACCAGCGTTGATGGGCAACAATTCACAGACAAAACCAGTTAACAGTGCCTGCCAGGAAAGACAATTCCTTCTTTATGTACAGCAACATGTTGGCTGCTAGCCTCAGAGTCCAAGTGATGTTGCTGCCTTTTGCTTTTCAGACTCCCCTGTCAGCTTTTCACTTGGAACCAAATATCATAACTTAAAGGCACAGCAACAATTGAAGACCTAATACCTTTAACTTTAAATTATCCCAGGAATTACTTGAATAATACTTTTACTTTAACAAGGCTAACTTGTCTCACCTTTACCATTTCATGTTCAAAATAAAATTTGTTAGCTCTTTAATTATTGAAGCAAATAGATTTTTAGCAGAATCCTTTGAAAGCCAATTTATTTGACACATACATTTCACATACACCTTCCTTTTTAAAGAGGGTTGTATTGACAGGGAGTGTTCATTTAGGTCCTTTAAACCTTTCAAAATCGCACAACTTTAAGTACCTTTTGCTGAAAATTTGAATTAATTTTAATTAATGGAGCTGGTTTTTCCATTCCCTTAATTCAGGCTCATGTGATTCCATGGACACGCACACCCATGCCCCCAGGAAGTGGGCTGAGGGGCATGAATCACACCAATATGCAAATTTCCAAAAGTATCTTATGGCACATTCAAATTTCCAAATCATGCAGTCGTGTAGTAGGATTTTTTTTACCTGCTTTGTAGCCAATAGCCAACTATATTTTGGGGGTCAGTCTAAAATTTGCTAAAATCATAATGCTTTCCTTTTTAAACTAGTAATTTTGGTTGCATTAGAGTTAACATTACAATTTCCTTTTAGGGGTGTGGTCTGGATCTACCATCAGGCTGATTTTATCTTTATTCCAAGCTGGTAGTTTCCCCAGATAATCTCTCTCATTTAGTTCTTCTCAGTTTCTCCTTCAGGACAACCACTCACAATTACCTTGTAGATCACTGATATTTCTGGGACCTGCATAGCTGCATTCTCTCTTTCATCTAATGAGCACCTGAGTCCGTTTGAGTCTGTGGTTAATTCCTGCATTTTTTCCTTCCCTTTCTCATTTAATTTTCTTAGCTTTCTATACTCCTCAGCTCTCTCACTCAACGCTGCAATTTGTCCCCTTCAATCATGAACCTGCTCTCTCACGTCCTCCTGTTCCTTCCAGCACTTACCACGATTCCCGGGACACCCTGCTTTGCCACAATGAATTGCTCCTGTGCCACCCGGGAAGCACTTCTCAACTCCTTAGGTTCTTTGCACCAACTTAACTTCCTTACCCTCATCTCACCACAATCGATCTGACATTCCTTGAGCTTTCCTCAGGGCCATTCTGAGCCAGAGCCACATTTACACTATTCATATTCTCAAGCAGCATTTTTAGTTCCCCATTTTGCTCCCTCTCTTAACTCCTTAATCTTAGGTGTCTTCTCGGCTTTTGACGTAAGCCATGAACACACGTGACCCCACGGATCGGTCTCAGATTGGATTTGGCGCACTGCAGTGTGCTAGACCAGGGATGGGCAAACTTTTTGGTGAAAGGACCACATCTGGGTATGGAAATTGTATGGCGGACCATGAATGCTCATGAAAGTGGGGATTGGGGTATGGGAGGGGGTGAGGGCTCCGGCTAGGGGTGTTGGCTCTGGGGTGGGGCTGGGCATGAGGGGTTGGGGATGCAGGAGGGTGCTCCGGGCTGGGACCAAGGGGTTCGGAGGGCGGGAGGGGGATCAGGGCTGGGGCAGGGAGTTGGGGTCAGGGCTGGCTCCAGGCACCAGCCTGGCAAGCAGGTGCTTGGGACGGCCACTCCGGAGCGGGGCAGCACATCCAGCTATTCGGCGGCAATTCGGTGGACGGTCCCTCACTCCCACTCGGAGCGAAGGACCTCCCGCTGAATTGCCACCGCAGATCGCGATCGTGGCCTTTTTTTTGCTGCTTGGGGCGGCCAAAACCCTGGAGTCGGGCCTGGGGCGGGGGAGGGGTCAGGAGTGCAGGCTCTGGACGGCGCTTACCTCAAGCAGTTCCTGGAAGCAGCAGCACGTCCCCCCTCCAGCTCCTACATGGAGGTGTGGCCAGGCAGCTCTGGGTGCTGCCCCATCCACAGGTGCCACCCCTGCAGCTCCCATTGGCTGCAGTTCCTGACCAATAGGAGCTGTGGGGGCGTGCTTGGGGTAGGGGCAGTGTGCGGAGCCCCCTGGCTGCCCCTACGCATAGGGGCTGGAGGGGGGACATGCTGCTGCTTATGGGAGCTGCGTGGAGTGGGGCAAGCCCTCGACACTGCTCCACGGCTGGAGCACTGGAGCGGGGCAAGTCCCGGCCCCCACTCCCCGGCGGGAGCTTGAGGGCCAAATTAAAATGTCTGAAGAGCCGGATGCAGCCCCTGGGCCGTAGTTTGCCCACCCCTGTGCTGAGCTCTCCACTGCCACTATACTAGGCCGAGCATTCCTGTCTGATACGCTCTCAAACACTACTGCGAATCAAGGTGCCCATCCGGGCCACCAATTCGTTACCAACAATGGTTTTAGTAAGGTTCGAATTTATTCAGTGATTAAAGAGACCTCCGCATCAGTCAGCTTGATTGGATTTATTAAATAATTAATTAACTAGACAGCAGAAAGACTAAGAGTATAGTTACCACAGTCCATGAGCCTGATTCTACAGCTGGCAACAGGTACCTCGCCCTGTTTGGTTCTGCGATTTGCTTATACCTGGTTGGTACTTATAGGCAGGTTGCTGACAAATCCATTAGTTCCTGTTTCCACAGGCTAGAGGAAAACACATCTTGTTCTGGTACATTTCCTAAAGTTCCGAGTCCCTGATTTAGACATCTGCCCCTTCCTGTCAGCCTATGTTTACAGTATATAGGGTACTGCTGATTGTGGTGAAACCTTGCTTGTGAAATCAGAATGACAGAACACTGTGTTAAGGGTTATGGCATCTTTCTCCTCTTTTCAGCCATCTGGTCTTTTTTCCCTTTATAGCATGACGCTCAAGGTGGCAGGGGGAGGGCGGCCTCACAGCCCAGCAATCGGCCTGGACAAGCCTGGTTCCCAGGTCAGCGGGCGGGAGTGTTTGTGTGAACTTGCCTCCAGAACGATGAGCAAAGCTGCCCAGTTTCAGGCAGGCTCCGTGCAGGCCCCTGGAACAAATGCTCCATAGCTGAGCTTTGCAGTCTGGACTCATCTCTGCTGACTGCCCTGGACCAGCCAGTCCCCTCTGTTGGGGCTCATGTTGCCTACAGGTCTCCTTGGTACCCTCCCACTTCCTCCCCTCTCCTACACATGTTTCCCCCTTGGCCTCCCCACAGTCACCTCCCAGAGCTTGCCCCAGCTGGGGAAGGCTAGGCCTGGTTCCCTCCCTCCCGGGGCACTGTGTACAGTAATGCCAGGCACACCTGAGGGCTGAGCATACTGCCTCCACACAGCTCTCCTTCCCTCCAGTGGGCAGCCGGGCAGCGCCCCACTGGCACTCTGTCTTATAGCTCTCAAGCGAAGTGCTGCTGCGGACAGTTCCCGTGAAAAGACCAGGGTCTGCACTGCTTAGCTTGAGCCTCTGGGACCATTTGCAAAGGTCCTTGTGGCCCATAAGAACTCAATCAGCTCCAGGGTAGCACAACCAAGGGCAATGTCCTGGCTTCTCCTAAGGTGTTCGATAATCCCGACTTGTTAGCAATCTATAGTGGGGTCTGTAAGGAACCCACATGGGGAAGGAGACTATAGGGTCTAGAGGCTGACCTACCATCTCCACTGTAATGCCAGTCTCCACCAGGCCTTCCTACGGGCTAATGGGCAGCGCTAAGGGATGGCTCTGCTTGAAGGTGGGCAGTCATCCCTCTCTGGGAGTATCTCTGGGGAGTGTCCCTGGCACGTGGTCTCTGCTTTCAGCAGAACTGAGAGACCTCTGCCCCTTGGCCCGCACCTGCAGTTGAGGGTGTGAATCTAATCACCAAATTCCTCCTGGTGTTTTGTGCTCAGATTCTCCTGATGGGAGACAAGACAGCCAACAACATGCCGCTGATTCATCTGCCCATAGAGCAGTGACACTCAACCTTTCCAGATTAATGTGCCCCTTTCAGGCCGCTGATTTGTTTTGCATACCCCAAGTTTCACCTCACTTAAAAACAACTTGCTTACACAATCAGACATAATAATACAGAAGTGTCCCAGCATACTATTACTGACAAATTGCCAACTTTCTCATTTTTACCATGTAATTATAAAATAAATCAATTGGAATATAAATATTGTACTTGCATTTCAGTGTCTAGTATATAGAGCAGTACAAACAAGTCATAGTGTGAATGAAATTTTAGTTTGTACTGACTTTGGTAATGCTTTTTATGTAGCCTGTTGTAAAACTAGGCAAGTATCTAGATGAGTTGATGTACCCCCTGAAAGACCTCCGCATACCTCCACAGGTACGCGTCCCCCTGGTTGAGAAGCACTGTCATAGAGCACCACTTGCAAAACACTCCTGGAACCCGTAGGAAGGGTTCTTGCTATAACAACTGCCGGCTCCCAGAATTTGTCCAGTGTGATATGATTCTGTGCTGCTGATGCCATTAGTCTGTAAGCTCTCAAAGGAAGGGAACCCTTCCTTCCACACATGGTATCTACTAAGGCAGTGCTTCTCAAGCTATCTGATGTGGGGGACCGGCAATTTTTTTCCCCAATGTGCCAGGGACTGGTGCCATATTATTATCCTATTTGATGCTCTTATAAGGAAACTCGTTGCGGACCGGCAGCCGATGGCTCGGTCCGCGGACCACCACTTTGAGAAGCACTGTACTAAGGCACCATGCAGAGCTATGCTACTCTGGGCATAATACCAATGGTGCAGCCATGCGCTTTCTCTGCACCCAGCAAGATCCAAGGTGAGCTGTCCCTTTGCTCTCGAGATTTACTCTCCGCCAGTCTGTCCGTAGCAGGGACACTGGATGGGGATCTCTCGGCAGCCTCCATCTGCTCTCTTGCAAATGTCTCCAAGCTGAATCTGCATTACCCCCCAACGCCTTCTCCGCATTTTCAATTTCTGATCCCACCTCCCTATTGTGGGTTGGGTTTGGGTTTTTTTTGTTGTTGTTTTTTTTTGAGTGTCTATCGCAAATCGCAACGCTCAGGTCTCAGCCTTGATCCACAGTAATTCTGCCTTGCTTGTGTCTCCCCCTAAACTTTCATGCCATCTGACTCCAAATCTTCTAGGACTTTCATAGCTGATCCCACCTCGTCATGCTGATCTCTGCTAATAACAATACACCTCACGTTCAAGAGTGCAGACAAACCTCTGCTTTCATTAACAGCCAGTCCAACGCTACAAAGATCATGTTACCTGTGAAAAATAAAAGGAAGAGGCATGCTTTAAAAAGAGAGGCTAGCTCTTACTCTGTAAGCAGCTCCCAGGCATGGGTCTGGAGGGAGAATTTGCAGGAAGCCGCTCTGCTCTCGTGGCTGATAACACACGGCCCACAATTCTGCTGCTGCGACTGCCCCGGCAGGAGCACAGACAGGAGGCCTGGGGCAGGTGGAACGAGATGGACCCTTCGGTGCACGTTTTGGCTCTGGACAGATGCTTCTCTGTAGACAGGGAAGCAAACACTCATCCCTCGGAAGGGTGGGGCTGCTTTAATAAGTTCTCTCTTACAATAGAATTAAATAAAGAAGCGCTCAAGGGAAAAACCGATACATTGCCTAATCAGGAGCAGCTAATTTAGTTCGGGGGTGGCACAGAACCACGAGAACAATGCAAGACGAGCACCAGGACGATCCCTAGCTAGGCAGAGTAGACAGACCTGCTTGCTCATGGTGTTTGTCATAGTATCATGGGAATGCTAACTCCGTGCGAGCTAGGCAGAGCAGAGACAGCTGCTTGCTCATGGTATTTGTCATAGTATTGTGGGAACACAAGCTCCATGCGTGGCCATTCTTCCCAGATCAAAGGGAAGGGGCATCAGCCTGCTGGCTCCCAGCTGGCCAATGGTCCCTGATGGGCTGCAAACCAGACAAGCAAGGAGGAGAAGGGAAGCTGTGGCTTAAATCTACTAGCATGGGGGGAAATCATAAAGATCTTACTCAGCTTTTACTCAGCCCTTCGGCAGCAAAGTCACCCTGGCATCATAAGATCGGAGTGACACTTGGGCAGAGGCCTCAGGCATTGGCTCTTGGGGCAAACGAACTTCCCCAGCGAAGCAGGAGACGGTATCGTTCTGAGACACCAGGCAGAGGAGGATTGACTTATTGAGGCACCCAAGCACTGTGGCCAGGAATTGGGGACATGGAGCGGGACCTGGAAGAGACATTGTGATCTGGGGAGTCCAGTGAAAGCCGGGGTGAATCTCATCACTAGGGCATCAGTGGGGTCTGATCACTATAGGAGAGAGGGAGAGTGTAACAGGAATGGCTTTCCAGGGGATGGAGACCTGGGGCTAAGCCAGCCCTGATTCCAGGGCAAGTCATGCCTGTGTTGATCCCAGGGCAAAAGACAGAGGGAAGCTGCTGGGAGGGGCTCTTGCAGTGGTCCCCGAGAAAGAACAGTCCCTCAGGGGACTGTCCACCCCCTCCCCTGCCCCATGCTTCCTGCATGCTGCTGAACAGCTAATCACTGGCGGGTGGGAGGCGCTGGGAGGGAGGGGAAGGAGCTGATTGGCAGGGCTGCTGGTGGGTGCTGAGCACCCACTATTTTTTTTTCTGTGGGTGCTGCAGCCCCAGACCACCCATGGAGTCAGCAGCTATGGAGTGTGGTGAAATTCTCTGAACGAAAATACAGAGAGTGGAAAACAAAGGGGACCACAGGCCCAGAGCAGAGGAGAGCAAGAAGGAAACACTCCTATGAACAATCTGGGGGTGGCCCAAACCACAAGAACCTACTGTGGGGGTATCAGCTACCCGACAATCTGCTGGGAACAAGTCCATAAGCATGGGTCACCAGGGCAGTCCTGAGGCTGCAGAGATGATAACAAGCCACTCCTTGACACAGCAGTTCCGTAGCGCTCCTCTCAGTAAGGAGATGCAGTCATTTTTGGCTCGCTGCAGCACTCGACTGGGTTGTGTTGACCCCTCAGAGTGGTTTTCCAAAAGCCACCCACAATGTGTGTTTCTCCCTCCATCATCCTGACCTCTTACAAGGGTCAGGCTGGAAATCATTATTACTTGGTTTGTCTTTGACAGTTTCAAAGCCAGGAAAAGAATTCCCCAGCTTTCCAAGGGCCACTCAGCCAATGGCAAAGAATGTCTAGCATCAAAAGGCAGTGAGCTTGTTAAAGGTGATTCAGCCCTGAAAGCTCTCTTTCAAAGCCCAGGGAGATGAGCAAGGAAGTGAAGCCATATGGGGTGTGTCTCCTTCCTCGGTATTAGTCAGGCTGAGTGTCTGTGTTGTTGGTACCCCCTCTCAGAAACCACTCATCATAATCCAACTAACAAGCCCCCAAACACTTGCTGTGCTCACACCCTGTTACCCAGGGTTCTTTTACCCAAAGCTGTTGGTAACTTTTACTCTATGCGAGATAGTGTCAGGAAATAAATCAGGGGAGACACAGCTGTCTGACCGATAGATGGCTGGCACAAACAGGGCAACATAAGCGTGCTTTCACTTAAAGCTAAACTTTACTTAGTCTCAAGCACTTACACACGTCCGCAACAGGTTAGTGAAACATCCCCAACCCTCGATAATTACCAAAGCTGAGTGTAGCTCTCGAGTGGCACAGCAGCAGCCCATCTGCCACTGGGGACCGCAAGATGTATCCAGAGGGAGAGTCCAGAAGAGTCCAACTACCTCAAACTTTTCCCCCTTATTTATACATTAGTAATAGAATTATATGTCCCTTAAAGAAAACTTGTCAAGCAAGCAGTTTCAATGGTCAAGCAAGAGGTTCCTTCTGATTATTGATTAACCAGGTGTGGGTTTTTCCAGAGTTTGCAGCCTTGAGATCCTGTTAGACGCATTCCTGAGGGCACATCTTGCTCTTCTAAAATGCATGTATTAGCAGCTTCAACACAATTCTTACCAGGAAGGACGTGGGTCAAGCTGCTCTTTCTGTGGGACCCAAAACCCCCTCCCCTCCTGCCTTGGTCAAGCTTACAGCCTGCTGACTTGGCTGCTTTTAGCAATAAGCCATAGTGGTTTCAGGAACTTTACTGGTTTGCCAAAAATCTCCCCGTACAACCCTGCCTGCACCAGCTCTGCCTGGCAGGCAAGTCTCACCCACCCTGAGCCATGCTCCCTGCCCAGCACACAACAATGCTTACACCAAAATTCATCTCCTTGTTCGAGATCTCTGTAGTGTTCTGGTAAGTCCATGTTCTTTAAAGGAGATATGCCAAGGCCTCAGGGCTCCATCAGTGTTTGGACAGGATTGTGAATCTCAAATTTTTTGATGGTTTTCTTGAAGCCCGAGCTCCTAGAATCAGGAAATTACATGAGAATCTCAGCTTGCATTCAAAACAAAACAAAGTCTGTTTCTAGCCCTCACGGGGGCAGAGAAAAACTTGAAGATGTGATTCACGTGCGACATAAGGGCTATGAAACCAGAATGCAAAAAAAAAAAGAACCTCCAAAATGTTTTAAAAAGAAAATCTCATGATTTTGGGGGCCTGGTTTAAGACTTTTGAATGCTTGGGGTTGGCACCATTGCTCTGTCCCAGCCACGAAGAACTGTGAGAAGGGGATAACTATCCTCCTCAGACAAAATCCTACATATTGAGCCCTACTACATTGCACTGGAGTGACAGAGAGGAAAATGCTTTTTCTTCTTTCTAAGGCTTATGCGCATTGTTATTTTGCTCAGTGCTCAGTACCATAGTAGGTGCTATATAAAATCATAAACTGGACACACACTGGCTGGATAGATAAATGGATAGACCAAGATGATGGGTGGATGCATGGATTAATAGGGGATAGATAGAGGTAGAGGTGAGATGAGATTGGACGGTAATGCTGGCAGACCAGCTCTGTTTGGTGTGAGATCTAAGGTGCAATTGATCAGCCCTATGGGACTGGGAATAACCTGAATAATGCTGTGAATCTGTGTTAGGGACCATCTATTACAAATGTAGGCTTACCTGTGAGGTGAGATACATCGGAGGACCTAATGGGACTGTCTGTGACTCCAGATTAAGGCTGTTATAGTGCCTGAGGGGTTTATACTTGATAATTGGTTGGTGAAATCTAAACATGGAACTCACAGCCAATTGGGGGTTGTGCCCTGCTTCTTCCCAGTCTGCCCTTAAGTTGGTCCTCACGCTCGTGAGCCACTGCAGGGCAGCTTCACATGGACCCCGCCCTAGATCTGTGCCACCCTGAGCTGCAGCTGCTGTCCTGTGTATCCGACTCACCCCGCAGAGCAAGGCCCCCCGTGTCCCACTTTTGCAAAGTGCTATGCATTCTAAAGTGCTCTAGCAATGACACATCATCAGAATGGCAGCAGGGTTTTTAAAGCGCAAACATTTCCCTCCCCATCTGCCCCAGGGCTTTCCCTAGTCCCAGGAGATGCCAGCAGAGATGCCATAACCCAGCTCAGAACTCTACAGAGAGGCACTCAGTGACCTCCGGAACAGCTCGCGCCCCCACAGGAGCGGTGGGCAGGGTCCTATGAACGCTAGTGACACAGCTCAAGGATCAGGGAATGCAGGGGAGAACACACTTTCAATTTTAGACAGTGCCCCATTGGCTAAGAATGGGAGAGTGAGTGAGAGCACAGGAATGGATGGGGCCAAGCGCTGCCCACTGCTGCTCAGAGCATCTCAGCCTTGCCTGCTCTCCTGTGCTGTCTCCTGGTTGTGGAGTGAAGGAGCCTCTTGTACTGGCTCAGGGTAACAGACCCCTGCAGAGGAGGCCGCAGCAGGTAGGAGTTGAGAAGGAATAGGAAATCAACCACAGACTTCAGGATGCTGCAGCTCACCAAATGTCAGACATGCCTGCGAGAGATGGGGAGAGCAATGGGGAAGGGCTGATAGCAGCATGCACCAGCCCAGGATGACAGCAGAGGGGCTAGTGTGTCTGAGAGGGGAGGAGGGACGCACCAGAGGGAGCCAGAAAAAGCCCATCTAATCTTATTCCTCTTTGCAAATCTCTTCCTTTCCGGGGTGAGGAAGGGATTCAGAGACACTGGGGTTCCACACGGGGCCAGGCCCCCTAGCCCAGTGTCCTGGCCCAGCTGTGACCAGTTCCAGAGGAACACAGGCATTGCCAGACTGGATCGGACTCAAGGTCCATCTTGTCTAGTAGCCTGTCTCTGACAGGGGCCAGCCCCAGATGCTGCAGAGGAAGGTGTAAGAACCCCAGACATGGCAGATGTGGGATAATCTGCCCGCATATTAGGTCTCATCCTGGTCAGTAACAGTTATAGATTATTTTAATATCCTTTCCAGCATCTGCTGTCATTAATGATGCTCACTCTGGATATTCCCATTGTCCACAGGAATGTCCAATCCCTCTTTAAATATTGCTACATTCTTTGGCCTCAACTACTTCCTGTAGCAGGGAGTTCCACTGTCTAATTATTCAACATTGTGTGAAAAAGCATTTCCTTTCCCAGTTTTGAATTTCCCACCTTGAAATATCACCAAATGTCCCCTTGTTCTCATGCTAGGAGACAGGAAGATCAGAAGCTCCCCATCTCCTGACTCTAGACCAGTCAGTACTTTATAGACATTTATTGTGTCCTCTCTTATCTCTCTCCTTCTCTAAGGTGTCAAATCCCTGCTATACATTCCCATTTTTTTCCTGACCCAGCCCCCAGTTGGTCATTGTCTCATTCCTGGAAGCCTAAGGATGTTGAGCTTGTTGTTAGACACTCTTTGCAAGTGAGACGAGACAATCTCACTCTGCAACCTCTGGCTCACAAACACAGAACCCTGGCCCTGCAACTGTCAGAGTCCTGTACAAAGTGGACATAAAACATCTCC